ATTTATGATATGTAGTGTCTGCTCTCTGTTTTCGTTTTGAACTGCTAAGATCGATCGTGGAACATCATGTTCAGTTTCAGATTTGCGTTCCTGAACAGGAACAGAATCCGATTTTTTCTGGGATTTTTCTTCAGTTTTTGCCTTTTGCTTTTGATGACTTAGAGGTTTGACCTTCGAAGGATGAGATTTTGTTTGTTTTGCTAGATTAGATGCTTTTGAAGTGGTTTCATGAGGTTTAATTGGTTTTTTCTCTTTACTGATTGACCGAGTAGGTTCATTGGTTTTTGGAGGAGCAGGCGTCTATGTAAGTACGAGAAAAAAATGTATGTGGTAATAAGAAGTGGTTCGTAAGAGCAATTACTTTTTTCACACTGGGTACTGCCGAAGATTTTTTCGCATTTGTGGTTGTTGTTTGCGATACTTTTAGTTTCGAAGGAGTAACTCGTGGCGAAGGTTTTTGTGGTTTATTTTGAACAACGGCTGGCGCCGTTCGATTCATCATAGATGATGGTATTCTGGGCTTTTGTAATGGATGTTTAATACCTGAGCTTACATGTGTAGATGATATTAGTTTACTATGACTTATTGATCTCCTCGGTTGTTGCTGTTGAGATGCATGTAAAAAGTCTAAATGTCTCACTCTATCCAACGCTTCAAAAACGAGCGTTTGTGGACAAGCACCTGTAATTAAAATTCGTACTAAACTATCCTTGTTCGATTTAGCAGTTGGCGTCCAAACAAGTAATAAACAAGATGAATACCAATGATGATGAGGAATAACCGAAGGCGAGACTTGCTGATTACGAATTGGGATCTATAAATTCAACGAATAATCTCTCGATGAACGAATACAAATGTTTGAAAATTACTTTCTGTAAACTTGAAATAAGTCGTTCGTCTTCCGACGGTGAACTTGTCGGGTGTAAAACATACATATCTAATGAACCAAAAGCAATTTTCCTATAAAGATTAATCGGTTCGAAATTTGATTTGTTCGCTATCATAGGTTTTATTAAATTAAACGTATCAATATTCAATTGCTTCGTTGCATTCATAAATTGATCGATATTGTTCGTTAAATTCATTAATAATTTACTACTTGGTGATGATTTCGATTGTAATTTACTACGTTGAATATGATTGAGAAAAATCGCCCCAACATCTGGTTTACCTGATTGTGCGTCGTGTGAGCTGAAGATTTGCTTGCGATGAACGATGGTTTGTAAACCCGGGAATACGTCGTAATCAAAATGAGTTAAAATACATGCATCAATGGTTTGTAAACCTCGAATGAAATTCCAGTACGATGGTATACGACAGAAACCACTATTGATCAAGACAACGAAACCGCGAATACCGAAAAGAGACGCTTCACCTTGTTGACTGTAGAATACGTAAAGATTCGGTTCGTCGAATGCAACTAAAAAAAAAGTTGGATTTGATAAAATGAACTCGTGTTTCGCCTTACTCGTTCCTGAATTGTTCCCAGATACGAGTTTCGAATAGATATCGAAATGGTTGGAGTCATTGCGTATAACTTGAACCAATCGTTCATAAAGACGGTGTCCAAATGAATTATTTGCCACGACTTCATTGGTTAAATCATGAATTTCAACATGTTCGACATGTTTTTTTAAGTAATTATTCGCCAATTTCATCCACTGATTCGAAACAAATGGTAAAACAATTTGTAAATTCTCCAAAACATAATCTCTATCCTCTTGAAATAAACTAGAAAAATTCTCCGCAGTAAACAAAGAATCAGACAACATCAAAGCTCCATTGGAATCGACCTGTTGTCCTGAAAATTCTTCAATAAACGAGTTATTCCAAAATCAAAGATCTTTACCACAGAAGATAACACAAACATGACAACATGTTTGAAATAAATCATGAAGTACATTCAACAATGTATAAAAACTTGGATGATAGAGAAATCCGGCTGTTGAACCGTTTTCCGTATTAGCGATTTGTCGATATTGAGAATCTATTTAGAGAAGAAAAGGTTAAGTCTGAGGATAACGTGATGAGCAAACCTATTTGGAATTCATTTTCATGAATTAAATTGTTGAATAAATCATTGATCTCGTAATATTTGCTGCCATCAATCTGTTGAAACGCATTTTGAAGGCATAGACATATTTCATCACGTTGTTCACTTGAAATGATTTCTCCGACTATTAATAGTAAACCCACAGTTGGGTTTTGATGTTGTCTGTTCCTATGCATTGGTATCGACATTTGATCGATGAGTTAGAAGAATAGAGCCAAGAATAAACGGAGAAAAGTGAAGGGAGAGAAAGAGAGTAGCAGCTGTAACGAATATGATTTTGAAATCATTGTTAATGTATAACGACAAAAGACGAGAAGAGAAAGGCGGAAGAAGAAATGGAAAAAAATGACCCCTTTTTTTGTATTTCGGATGTGAACTTTAGAGTATAGATGTAAAAGAATAGGACAGAGAACAAAATGGTGCTATGAATTTGTGTAAACGAGACAAATCGAAGCAAGAAAGAATTACGTTCATGAGATTTCTATTGTGATCAAAATGAATTCAAGCAAATATATTCAAAGACGATGATGAAGAATTTATAAGATTTTTTGTTTATTTGAAAGAGTAGACAAAATAGATAACTATTAGAAACGATTTCTGTCGTGTGGTAAATCGTAATTAATCTCTGGTCCTCGCGCAACGATGCCTGTTGGATTGACCATTAAATGGGAAGCGAAATAATGTCGTTTGATTTCACTGAGGTTAACTGTTTCTTTAACATCTTTCATTTGATAAATTTCCCGTACGAATCCGAATAAATTTGGATAGTCTTTGGAAATCATCTTCTTATTACATTTGAAATGTGTGAAGTAAACGGGATCAAATCGTAGCAGTGTTGTCCAGGCACGAACATCGGCTTCAGTGATTTGTTTATTGTCGATAAGATAACGTTGTTTGGAGAGAATGCCTTCAAGAATGTCTAACATGGAGAAAACATCTTCGAAAGCAGCATCGTAAGCTTCTTGAGATTTAGCGAAGCCAGCTCGATAGACACCGTTGTTCAATTTCGGATAAACTTGTTCGTTTAGTTCGTCGATACGTGATCGTAAAGATTCCGGATAAAGATCTAAATCGGGATAACGAGCAAATTTGTTGAATTCAGAATTGAGCATTCGAATGATTTCAGCAGATTCATTATTGACTATTTTCTGCGTCTAAAATAATTTCAAATTGTTAAAAGCGAAAGGATAAGTTCGAACTTTTTACTTTAAGGTCAAAAAGGACAGGTACAGTAACGCGTCCACTGTAATCAGGATCATTTAGTTTATAAACATCTTTTAAATGAGTGAATGCTGGATGATGTGGATCAGGATATTTTTCTCCAAATGCCCATCCGCAACCTTTTTCGAACTCAAGTAAACTATCCACAACGGAGTACGAAATGACATGATCGAGGCCTTTTAATTTCAGAACAGTCAGAGTCCGATGAGCCTGAAATGAAATAAAACTAGTTTATATCTTTTTTCCATATGAAAATATCACTACAACACAATCTTACCCAAGGGCAAGCTAAAGCGACGTAAATATGATAACGATTTGCTTCTGGTTGATATTCAGTGGATGAATCATCTTTGATCCAATTTCGAAAAGCGGTTACTAGTGAGAAGTACGGAAAATAGACATTCAATAGCATAAATAGATCGACAAACTTACCTCCCCGAATAAATTCACCTTTAACATTTGTTATCGGATTTTTCGTGTCAGCCATTGTATTGTTTTATATATATATATATTGTTGAGAAAATAGTAAACATGCCTTTTATATATATAAACCCTCGATGCTTTATAACGATGACAAGGCATTTTTGTTTTCATTCTGTTCTCTCAATGACGTATACGACTTGCAGAAGTTCGCAATCAAGTGTACAGAGGACAGAAGCATGCTGTAAATATTTTTCAGGTGCAAAACCGAAAAACCTCATTGTTCGATTTTCCCATTAAAAGGATTGATTATATCTGAAGATTTAAATAGCTTTATTTCACATGTAAAAATCGAAAGCACAAAAATATGAAGCATTGTAAGAACTAGTTCATTCGTTCTAATGATGCTCAGCTATCTGCAGTCGGCGTAGGTTTAGGTGAAAGAAATGTATTTACGCGTTGTTTCTTATTCACTTGATTTTTACGTTGATTCGGATCAGGTCGAGAATAGATGTATAATTCCGAATTGAATAGAAATCGATTGTCTCGTGCTGCAAGTTTAAATAAAACCATTGAAATAATGATTAATGCCACGAGTCCCAATGCTATATAGGATACGTAAGGGATGATCAAGTATTCATTTATTCTATCTGTCATCTAGTGTAACTCTTTGTATGTTGAACAGAAGAAGAGAATAGAAATAAGAACGACAGGTAGAAATGAGAAATAAAAAGAACTTTTCTCTTGTTATTAATAAAAAGAAAAAATGACAGGGGATGAATTGATTGTGCTAATATTTTGATTGGGAGGAAACCGAACGTCACAAACAGTAAATATCACATAGAAACTCGATATTTCTAAGGAATTTTTGCTTTTATACTTGTGAATAATTTCGATATTGCTCATTTATGGTAATGACTCGGTCATTTATCTTTTAATGATTTACATGATTCATATTCGGAGAGTAGATCACTGATAGGAGTCAACCATGACATCTGTTCTTGTATAAATACATCAATTTCTCTTTAAAATATACCATAGTTTAACCGGAACGACAGAAATATCGCTGCGAGCAAGATAACCAAGATGCTTACGCTGATAAAAACTTTGTCGCCGGATGACAAACTTAGTCCTCAGGCCTATAAAGTTGTTATTGAAAACGAAAATGGAGAGCTTTATTCAAAAGAAAAAAAAAACGAAGAATCTTTGTAGAGAATAATTTTGTTTAAAAAAAAATAGAACAAGGTGTTTCCAGAAAATGGGAGTAAAGATAGTGGATAGTCGGTGTGAAATTGAATAAAGGAAATTAGCCAATAGTATATGTACATTTCGACGCTGGTGAATTCATTGGAGAACTAATAAGATTCTGCAAATCAGTTTGTGGAAGAATTGAGTCGTACAAACAATCTCCCTCTAAATGACGAACAAAATTGACTTGAATAAACAAGAAAATGTATCTCAAACTTACTTAAAAGACCCGAAGGTCGAGTAAGATTATTTCGAGTATACACCCCTGCATACGCTGTGGTAGCAATGTTATATATTTTGCTAACAGATACAGCAGCACATGAAGTATCGTTTGTATAAATAACTTGGGAATATCCAACCGGAAAAGGTAACCATTGATTCGAGTTTGTTATATTATTCGGTGAGCTGATAAACGATCGACAAGCAGTCGCCCGTTGAGCTACGCACGAACTGTTCTGTCCATCGATTAATCTTGAGTACCATTTACTCAATGCTCGTCTATTTGAACATGTATCAGAAAAGAGAACTAAAAGATCGCCAATCTCATAGAGACTTGTATCATCAACATTTCGACGGCGACGCAAAGCTGTTAGTGCACTGGTATCATTGGATGGACCGTAAGCGGAAAAATTCGTCGCGACACACGAGAGGAAACCATCGACATTTTTTGCACGAAAAATTTGTGTGCACTAAAGAAGATTTTAGAATAGAAAATCTAAATTTTACTAAATAAATTTCATCTGTTTAATTACAATATTCGATAATTCAGCAACACTCAAAATGTTACCACCTGTGAAATTCACTGTGATGTTCGTATAGACAGCTTTTATAATCAGCGACGAAATTCGATAGACTAAAAACGAGAACATATGTGTTTGGATTAAACGAGAAGTTTTTATACCATCTCCGTATGGTTGTTGACTCGAATCGGATACGTATAAAGGGATCAATGATAAGATTAATACTCCGGCAAGTGCTATACCAATTAAAAAGAAGATACCTGATGTTCCTAATGCGATAATCATGGCGTACACATTATTTCTAATCGAAATAAATCCATATACGCACTGGTCTTCTGTGTCAGAATTCAACTTTCACTCACTTTAATGATGTTTCAGCCATACTCGAGAATTATAGAGGAAAAAATCTAAACTTCCAATTTACTACTGAATTGATTGTGTATAGAAGTATTAGATATTTATATATATATGTAAAAATTCATATTCGTCAGTAAATGAAGCATTTACGAAAGCATAAGAGATAAATGAATATTGATAGTACAGAAAGAAGTACTAGAACTTCATTTAGTCAAGTATATACGTACCATTTAGTGAGATTTTATAGGTTTATATCAAGAATCATGAATCACAAGGTCATTTATTTTGACCATGACAAGAGGAAAAAAAATAAAGATGTGTCTATAAAAAAGAACTCTTCATCATCAAGTTAAGTCAACAATTAATGGTTCACACATAAGGTCAGCGAATACTTTGAGAAAATGAACTACAACTCTTGCTTCTCCACTTAGATTTAATAAATTAATTTAAAAGCAAATAGATCTGCAATCAAACATCAAAATCTCTTCCTGCACATTCATATTTTAAAGGTTTAATTGATCTTGCTAGATCATAAATAGTCATTTCAGGTTCATGTTGCTCAACGGCTTTATCCAAAGATGCAAATTGTTCCTGGCATTGTAAAGAAAGTAAATACTCGGTGCGAATAGCTTTTTGCTGATAAGATCGATGTGAAAAAGTTAATTATTTTATTTCTCAATTGTCCTGCTCCACTGCTTCTATTCATTTTAACAGCGTATGATGTTGTTATTGGTGCCTATTTTTTAACGACTGCATCGCAACAGAACATATAGGTGAAGCTAAAAGACACTCTGACATCGCGTTACTTTGCTTTTCTAATAAAGATGTTTTTTTTTTCAAATCAATAAATAATTTTCTCATCGAAACGAGTTGAATCATCTCGTTGTTCACCTACAATTTTTAGTTAAATATCGTCAAAGTCGTTCAATATTTTATTGAGTAGCTCTTGCATTTTGTTTAGATTTCAATTTACCCGGACTGTTCATAAATAATATCATACATTTCTTGAAATGGTAGATTAGCGTCTAATATACAACTGAAACTCTTTGAGAAAAATAATTTTATAGCATTGTATAAATGATCGTTCAGGGAAATGATGGAATATGAATAATTTCGGATAGATTCAATCGTTTTCTTCAATATAACGAGTCCAATTTCTTTTTCTTATATCAGATAACTAAGATATTATATTGATTCTTTCTTTTTTTATCATAGAAAATGTATTTTGACAAAATAAACTTCGTGTATAGTTTGCAAATAATCGAGAACATAACAAATCCAAACGTATAAACATGAATTGATAATATTTACGATAAAAAACAAAACAATACTATATGTCTGAAAGACGTTCTTCTCTGAATATGAAAATCTTCGAAAGTTGTTAAACTGCATTCTTTTGTTGAATATGATCGAAGAATTCAAAATAGATGGAAAGATGTGCTTGAACAACAAAACATATTTTTGTTTGAGTATGCGAAATGGATTCATATTTAGAATGATGCAGAGATGTTTTTAATGATTTGTGTCGTTATTTTCAAGTCTCTGAGTGTTTAATAAATATGTAGCACAAGACTCAACATACAAATAGCTTGTTTTTCTCGATTATTTTGTAATGGCATGAGTCAACTCATTTTCTTTGCAATCGATATCTCGTTATCATTGCTTTCGTAAACAAACGCTGATGATATCAATTATTTGATCGACAAAAATATCAAATAAGTTTCTGGAGAAGTTTTTCAATTGATATTTCTTTCTCGATATTAAATATCAATTATCCATCCGAACTCATTAGATTTCACAATAACATCGAATGACATTAGAGGATATTTGACCGAAGACAACTATTTGTGTGTGGATACAAATGAAAACCTGTTTCTTTATTAATTAGAATGAAAAAAAGAGAAGATTGGAGGACAGGGGTAGTCGTTTGATTCGATAGGAAAAGAGGAAGTGGTGTGGAGTGAATGTAAAAGGAAGAACGTAGGAGATATTGAAGTTTGAAAGTAGTAGAGATACTCAATTAATGACACGTTGAGGAAGTGACAAGGAGAGATAGGCAAGAAATGATTCGTGTTAAAGATAAAAACTAGAAAGAAAAGAAAATAGTAGTAGAAATCAGTGTGTGTAGGTCTCTGGTCAGCTGTTGTTCTTTGTTTAACCGCTGACTGTTGATGATGGTAAAGTGGTTGTTTCTGTATATTGCGATGAAATAATTGAAGCAATCGAGGATTGGGAAAGTTGTCCTGCATAAGTACAGCCAGCAACTAGAAGAAAAATGAAGAAACAACCGTTTATTCATTTTCTAAGTACGAAAGTATCATTTCTTACGGATTTGGCTTTGAGTTGATGAAGGTAATCCAATATTACTAGCGTACGCAGAAGCAACACTAGGACTAACACCAAAAACTCGTTGAACGTTGATCGTAGCGTAGCCAGTACTGAAGGTGTTCACAAGGTTGTAAGTGAATGAACTAGATACTGGTGTCCATTCAGTAAGAGCTCCATTTTTCGAGAACATTGAATTAGTGGCTGTTAAACGATCTTTGACACAACTACTAAGTGTAGTCGAGTTCGAGTATTTGCCTTTATCGCCTTGTTTTGCACATGGAGTGGAGAAGAAGCATCGTACTTGACCAACGCTGAGTAATCCACCTGTTGATGATTGTCGACGACGTCTAGATGTAGTACTAGTATTGTATGGACCATAGCCATACATGGAAGCTACTATACATCCCATAACATTACTTTTGCCCGATATTAATTTCAAAGCCGATGTGCTCTAGAAAAATAAAATTAGAAAAATTAAGACTCCGGAAACTATAGTAAATACGTACGAGAGTAGATAAAGCTGGGTTGGTAGCGATGCTGTCGTTGTAAAAGCTAGATGTGGAACCATCTGTTGCCGTTGTTGAATAGAGCGACTTAAGCATAACAGCAGGACAGTTATATTCTAAAACGAAGATTTTCGAGAAAAAGCTCGAAGGTCAATGTCCTAGTTTAATAATTTACCTTCGCCATTAGCTATACTGCTGCCATCAGAAGTGAAAGATGGAATAATACTCAGAATGACTGTTGCAGCGATAGCTACAACAGTAATGATGATGCCGCCAAACATCATCGCTATCATTTTGGCTGACATGGTAGCAAGTGCGATCGCCATCTCTGAACAAACGAACGTTTCGTGAACACATTGATTTTGTCTCTATACTCAAACTTTACCTTAGTAGTTGCCGGCTATTTTCTTTTCGAAAATATGCGAACGGATCGTTAGGGATACGTAAACTGGAAAAATAATATGAGCTCGATGTTGTCAAAAAGCACAGTTTTTATATGTCGAACGTATTTTTTTTCGCGAATATGTTTGTCAGGGTTTTCTTTCTCTCTCGCTATTTTAATTGATATGCCAATGATTCTCTTTCATATTTAATTATTTTTTTCCTTACAGTTAATAAATTTTTTCTAGCATCGATTTTTCTCTCTTCCTCGTTGTAGTGAATAACCACATGTAGAAAAAATTTATCCTTGAAAGAAAGAGAAAACCTGACTGATTATCAATGTATGATCTGAGTAGGCGTCTAGTCACTTCTTCTTCCTCATTAAAGACACTTTCGTTACGCGTTGCTCATCAACGATGATATACATTGCACCTCCGAAGGAACAACACAATGAGAAAGAGTATGAATAACAGTTCCGTATATGATCATTGTATATAAAATTAGTGCAACACTGAATATATCATATCAGAATACCCAACGTGCATTGTTGTCGTTTTCTACATTGAAAAAAAACACAAATTGAAAGTCATTCTTCTTTTTCATATAAGACTAAGACTTACCAGTTGGATGCAATATTTAGTTGTTGGAGTAGACCGAGTGTTTCCGAATGTTGACAACTTTTTTGAATGAAAGGAGCACTTTGTTGCTGCATTTCTATTAAATAGGTCTATATTTTAGAGAAAAAACATCTATAACTGTGAAAATTTATGTTGATGTCCATCATAACACAGACACTAACATTGATAGGGCCCTTTAATTAATATTTTCCATATGAACTTAGATACAATGGTAAAAGTGCCAAGAAATGGTTGCGGTAATTTCATTCATCAAGATCTTTCATATGAGATAGGCGTATGCAAATAGAACAGCGTCATATTCAAAGTGTTGACATCTATTAAACACCTCTCGTGCTCATTCACTGGAACATCTCAATGTTGACATGTTTTTCTTCAATTATTTCACAATGAATGATATGCATTCGAAACACTTAGTTCTTGTTTCGTCTTTTCGAAAGTATTGCTTTTATAACGAATGTGTTGCTCCTCAGTATCATTCACTAATTCTTGAGAAAGCTCGCAAACGAAAGATATTTATTTTATGTCGCCAATGTACTCCCGTCCTATTACGCGATCGTTAAGTGCAAAAAATATCGAAGTTAGAATAGTAGATTAAGCTACTGATTAGATTCACTGATGTCATGTTTTGTCCTTTTACTGATAATGAAAAAATATTTTCTCGTTGATCATGACTTGTCATTTTTAATTAATCATCTGAATTTCTATGTAATCAATCGCTCTGATTATATCAGCAAAAGTAATTTCTATGAGAAACACCCTAATGGTTAACGCGAATTCATTTCAAGGATGTCTAGGAGATAATCAATGAACCAAATAGCATTAATCAATACTGTAATACATCCTCGTACATGACATCAAGTTTCCTATCACTGATATCTTGTAATGTTTCAGCGACATGTTCATCAAAGAACGTCAATACAGCTCATTCTGTCTTTTTTTACTATGCAGGATATGTGAAGGAACGTCTTTGCCTAATTTATGTCAAAGATGAATAACATTTTTTCTTTTCTATTATTTTTCTTGCCAGTTGTCCTTATATCGTGGTCATGTTTTATTGATGAAAATGTTCCAGAACGTTATTTTCATGGTCATTGACTGAAATTAATATCTGTTTTAATAGAAAAGAAAGAAACCAAGTAACTTACTCATACATCGACATTATTTCACGCATTTTGTATTTTATTTTCAGTGAACTTCATGCGAAACAACACTAACAGACAATTTGCCAAGGCGAGCTATATTCTTTATTTTCCTTCTTCTTCGTACTTTGTATTTCACAACTTGTCCATTCACATGTGATAAGAAAAAACAACTACGAACTAAAATTAACGATCTAGAGAATTATTCGTGTTAGTACGTAAATACCGCGGAGGATATTGATGAAAATCTATTTACACAATACTTTCATGCAATGGCAATTGATTTACAATGAAAACGTCATTTTCCGAATCTAATGTTGACGATGACAATATCGTTGTCGAATTGGATTTCTTTGTCGATAGACTATCCACTGATCCTTTCGAATTGCATATCGATTGTTTCAAAGAGACACTTTCATCATCGACATCGTCGATGTAATCGACTTGTATACATTGATAAGGTGAAACTTTGTCAATAGAAGATTTGTCATCCGAGGTTTCTTGATGAATCGACGAGTCCAATTTATTCAAAGATGCATATTCATTCTGATGCTCATCATCATCCACACACGATGAAGAGATAATGTGAAAAGATCGTCGTTTGATCGTATGATCACTAATGCACGAATTGCGGATGGTCTCGTTGGATGGAAGGATATTTGTGGAATTGGATAAGTCGTTTATCGCCTTTAATGTTGAGAGACGAGCAATGGGCAATGGTCGAATAATTGCTTGACATGGAGAGAGTTTAGGATGTGTAAATAACTGACACGATGGGAATGAAGACGATAACTAAAATCGAAAGAAAACAATGAGAAACTTGAGTTTTTTCGATAAGCGTTATAAATCATTTACCTGATTTTTTTTATTTTGTAAAATATGCGAAGCGATCGGGTCGTATGTCGATCGTTTCAATGATCGTTCGTAAAGTGAATTTCGTTGAGGTCGGTATCGAGGTGGATTTCTAACAAAAAAAGAATCAACAAAATTTGTCTTTTCCTAACAAAATTTCTTACCGATGTGCAATAACATCCAGTGCATCGAAGAACGGCTCTTGTCCGAATGAACTCCTTGGATTTGCTTTTGATTTATGTCTATGCAATGCATGATGTTCAGAAGTAACTTTGACAATCGGTTTACAATCGTAATTATGCTCGTTGTAAACTGTCGCTCGTTCGGTTTGTTGCGGTATTTGACAGATATCACGATTTGATATGTAACAGGTATGCGTCGATGGCAACAATGAGACTTGTTCTGTACAAGATGGAATATCGAAATCCTTTCGTCGCCGAATATACGTAGGTTGTTCTTGATTGCGATGAAAATAGAATCGCTTGATCAAATTCGAACGTGACAAAACATGAAATGATAGGATGTAAAATGCGAGAAATAGAACGAAAAATCCATAGAAATGGCTATAGATTATACTTTCAAAACGGATTTTAAATGAATGTAGCGGTTGAAGATAAATGGTTGAACTTGATAGAAATAGTAAAATCAAAAGGATGAATTGACATAAGATGGAAAGTAGTTGATTGATCGATTCGTATTGATAATCTGCATCGGAAAGATCGGAATAGGAATGATAGGGATTGAGGTTTGATGATGAATGTTTCGAAGTTCGATTCGATGGAACGAGAATTGGAAGGATTTTCCTTCGTCGACACGGCAGAAGAAGATTTTCGGCATGTGAACCCGATTGCTGAGAAAACTTTCGTACAGATGCGTTTTTTTCCGTCAACTGTTTGATATAATGACGACTGACAAGCAACAAAATCAGGGAGAAGAAAACAAAGATAAAAATCGGGATGATCAATAGTAAAATTGAATCGAAATGTTTCGAAAAGCATCTAAATGAATTCCAACAATTTTCTTCATCTTATCAAACAATGACCTACATTCTTTTGATGAGAAATTGTTCACGAGACACCATCAAGTCTATACCACAGATAGCGAACGAAATTCCGTAAACAATCAAATACAAATGAATGACTGATCGTGGTTTCAGTTTTACAACAGGCAAACTAATATCATCGTAGTCGACCATGATTACAGGCGGTTTTCTTTCGTATTCATCATTGTTTGCTAATATCGCTTGAAATTTTCTCCAAATTAAACTAAAGTAGAGAAAGTTTTCGCATGTGAGAGAAAGTATTTCAATCGTTTGGACTTACAAAGTTAATAATGTTAACCAGAGAATCGTGGTTAAACAAAGGAAATGAAGACTAATGGCAATTAATTCACATACGAGTGGATATTGGGTGTTTTCTATCCCGAATGCGAATAAAGGGATGAGAATTGTGAGATTCAGCCAATAATTAATTAAACAATGAAAAAAACGTCGCGGCATTTGATAAACTCTAAATAGGTCATGCAATTTGACCATTTTCACACAATAGAAATGTAATTCTTACTTGTAAAAGCAAATATAACAAAGAGTGGAGATGAAAAAACAACTCGACGCCACTATTGATGAAATGTATATCGTCAATCGAGAATATTTTGTATTAAAAAACACATGTTCATTTCGATTTCTACCATTAAGGTATGTTAACGCAAGAGAATTATTATTGAATAGAACACAATAGCTTGAGATTAGATACGAACTCTAGAATATCGATTGAAAGAATGAAATCGTTTCGAATCTCTATCTCTCTTACCTGTTCATTGATTTTACAGACTGAAGATTCGAGTTGCCATATGGATTGATTGGAATACCAAATCGCGATTGATGCTTGATGTATCGGATTGTAAAAGGTTAGTCCGACCGGTGATGAACTGTATCTTGATACTAAATATTACTGTGAAAAAGAGAAGAGATGATGTTCGAAAGATTGGCTTACTCGGTCGTATGTAGATAACAGGATTGTAGAGAGAAGATCTCATTTCGTTTGACATGTACAGCATCGATTGTCGGTAGAAGATAATGTGATACAAAGACTTTTGAGTTGTCTTATTTGAACTCGGTGGGAAATGAATCGTGGCTAATGGAGACTAAAATAAGAAGAAAATAAGTCGATGCTTGTTTTTAATTAGGAACGAACTTCGTAATGTTGACGGTTATCAGGTTCACAAATGATTGTTAACAACGATCGATTTGGTATCAAACAAAGTGTTGAAAACAATGGTGCTCGCATAGACATTGCTGTTAATTCTTTTCCAATGTATAACCATGGTTGATCGGTGAAATCTAATAATTGTTCGATGATCAATCTCAATCTACAATGAAATCGAACTGAAATTAGTCTTGTTTGATAACAAAAACACATTTACCTCGTTATCGCCATTCTATACTCTCGGGAGTATGTAAAGTCTTGTTTAATTTGTAGAATAAAATCCGTCAGATGAAAAACCAGCATAACTCGATCTTGATTTCCATATTTTTCCTGTTGTTCATCGATCAAATCAATCAATAAAATCACATCATTCAAATCAAACGATCTTTTATCCAATTTCGACAAATACTTTATCAGACGCAATAACAAATTCGTCTCTGTCAGCGACAATCGATCAAATACTCTCGATATATTCGAATGAAAAGCACATTGTGCAAGATCTAAATTCATCCAATTGCCACTCGATGAACATGTGTACCACGCTCGCGCGTATTCATTGGAATTTCTTAACCATGCAGCTGATCCGAACGGACATTTCTTTTCAATTTTGTTATTAATTAACGTTCGCGGCCAATGAAATAATCCCTTGGATGTATTCATTCGTATTGATGGACAAAATTGATCGACTGTATTTGGTAAAACTGTTAATGATACTGACCGATTCGAATTTAAATGATGACATGTCCATAAGCCAGCATGTTTCACTTGCAAATGATCAATGATGATTGTTGAGTAGGAAGATGATATAATCGTTGATGGATAATGTTTTTTATTTAATGTCCAATAACGTTTGAAATTAGACGAACAATTTAATGCAAATGGTTGATTTTCATAAGCTATTTGAGATTGGTAAGGAGTGATTGTGAAGATTTGATCCGTGGGACAAAAGTCGTTTTCGTCGAACGGTTTTTGGTTTTGACAGTGGAGATGTTTCAATTGAGGATGTGTTTGATACCATTTCGATTGACATGTACAATGAAGTGGATTGTTCGAAAGATCGAGATTGACATTCGACAGACTTTGAAATGTTTTTGGAATTAATCGTAAAGAATTATTTTGGAGATATAATGAAGTTAAATGAGGGAATCTGGAAGGAAAGTCCGATGGTAGATAATGGATCTTATTGAATGATAGATCGAGAATTTCTAAATGGTTTAAATTCAAAAGAAATTCCACGGACGTTAAGATATTTGATGAGAGATTTAGGAGGATTGTCGATCTAGGTAGTTGATTATTGATATTGAAAAGTAGTTCATTGGTTATTCGTCGATTTGTACACTTGATAATCGTTAGATCAGGTGAACATGTACAATAATCTGATGATGGACATTGATCAGCATGGGATAATCGAATTAGAGTGAGAATTGGGATTAATTGAATGAAGATCATTTTCTCAGAAGTACACCAAATGACAAAATGGTCAAATCTAATAAATGATATGACCGCAATGCAAAACTTAATATCAACGAACGAGAGATATTTCGACTTTTTTCTTTCTTTCTTTGATTTGATCGATGCATATATTGATCGATAGATATTGAATGAAACGAAACGAAAAAAGAAAAAAAAACGATTAACTTATTTGTATATGTGTACAATATATCGGTACGTGAAACTATATTTTTGCTTTTCGTGAGAAGTTGATTTGTAATGGAAGAATCTTTTAGATTTACTGCGAAGAGAGAGAGAGAGATAAAGAGAAAACAATGAAAGTTGATTGTGCATCGAACCGTTGAGGAATTGCAATCAAAAATACAAACGAGGTGAACTATGAACAAAAAAAGTAGACTGTCAAAAATTGTTAAATCATTTGGAAAGACTCAACATGTTCGTCATAGATTTCGTCGTGATATTGACGAGGATGAAAAGTCATACTGTATACATCATTTATAATTGTTATTATTTGTACCGCTTTTGATCAGTTGATGCAGTGTTACTTCGAATTGCGGTTTTAATCAATGAAAATAACAATTAATGAAAGAATTCAATCGATGATCGAACTAGGGCAGTTAGAACAGATGCACATTCTTTGAAAATTCGCCGCTTATACGGAGATATTCGACATTTTTGCACGTATTTTTAGCAAAAAGACGGAATTTGGTCTGATAAAATGTGAAATTTTTATTAAGATAGGATATTAACTAGAAAAGCAATAAAAAGCACAAAATTTTGTTGGTTAAATGATTATCATGTTGATATCCAAATTTTCTTTTATTGCTTGTTTGTGAGTATCTTTCACTTTCTTGCGTGAAAGACTCCCCAGCGTTGATCACCTTTAGCACATCGTTGAAGTTTACCGTGCCAACCTTCGATTAAATGTTCGTAATCTTCACTGGAGAATTCCTATTGAAAGATAAACTGTAAATATTTATAAAAATGACAACAAAGAAAACTAACTCGAATGAAATCTTCTTTATTGGCTTCGATGCGTTCAAGTTCCATGTTTAAACATTCAACAAATTTCTCTGTTGCATCCTTGGCGTCGACATCTTTGAAACCAACACTTTCCAAGAGCTAATAAAAACAACAATTAAGAAATCAAATGATTTTTATCGATCTTAGTTTTACTTTGCCATATTCAGGTACGGTTAATAAAGTGTACCGTCTTTGAATGACATATTCTTCATACTCTTTTGACCATTCATTTTTTGGTGCGCAGGTGTAATCACTAATAAACAATTGACCACCGGGTTTCAACCAACCCTGAATAGAGACGAAAGAGAAAGATATTGTTTTGTTTTAAAGAATAAATCGTTTCACTTACGTAAAGACGAGCGAATAAACTCATCTTATCGGAAATATGTAAAATTGTATCACGACTGTAGATAACATCGAACGAATTTGGCTCGAATTCATGACTCATTACATCGCCAATTTCAAAAGACACCTAAATTCACATTGAACGATGAAAAAAAGCAACAACGAACAGCTGAGCGATTAAATGTACTTTGAGTTTACTTGCTGTCATACCCATCAACCGTTCGTAGGCGATACTGACCATGTTCGTTGACAAATCAACGCCAATTACCGAACATCCGTATGTCTTTGCACACACAAACAAATGATTTCAATAAATTCTTGAGCAATGTTTACCTTAGCCATGTAAATATCACCTCCGCCGATACCACAGCCGACGTCCAAAACGAGTTGATCATCTTTAAGATGAAGTGATTCGACAAATTCCTAGTGAGAATCAATAATGACTCGTTTCAATCGATATGGCGAGGTTTTTTGTCTGCTATGTCAATACAACGTACCTTTGTCGTATCTAGTCCACCTGTTGAAACAAAACCTGGCCCGAATATTTTCTCATAACGTAAGACACCATTCGTGGAATATTGTTGTTGATCAAGAAAATCTTGAAATGTTGAATGATCATTTTGTCTGGCAATTTTCTTGAAAACATAACACAAATGGAACGATTTGTACTTTTCCTAGAAGAATCAAATACGAATTTTTTCATTTAGAAGAGATTCTAAAGTGTTGGAATTACATCAACAAAACTACGTAATGGTCGAGCGAAAACTAATTCAAAACCATATCGTTCTTTATCAGATGTTGTTGCTGAATGAAAATGATGAATCAGATCAACTGGATTGCTTGAATGATTTTCTAACAGAAATGAAAATAGGTTGTGGAGGGAGATGAAAGGAACAGTTCCAATCAAACCTTTGTCTTTTGGCCATTCGCTTTCGAAAACAAAGACTTGACCATCAGTTTTGAGTGTTGACAAAAGATTTTTCAACAATTTCTGCTTATCATTAACATTCAGTTGATTGAACGATTTGATAAGAAGACAAACATCGAATCTGAGAAAAAAAAATTCCATAATAATCCTTTGATCCGTTTTATCTCATAGATATACTGACAAATTATTTTGCAATTCAGCATTGTTAAAACTAGCACAGTTCAAAACCGGTGATTTCGATAGATTTTTCATATCTTCATCCAACCGTTTATAAGTCTCCGATGATTCAGTGAATAAGATCAATTGCTCTGCATCTGATAACAATTTTGTATAAGATTCATTCGGACTAAAAGAGATAAACCTATGTGCATATATTTTCGTCGACAGATAAACTTACTGTTGAATGTTATTAACAACAGCTAATACGCTTTTACCAGTAGTATTAGGCAGAAGACTTTTGATTTCTTTGGCAATACGAGTAGAAAATTCGTCGACCATAGTGGATAAAGAATAGCAATCCAAAGTACAAATCTAGAGTACATAGAAAGAGAAAAAACAAAAGCAACAAATATGTTTTGGCGTACAGAAAGGTAGTTGATATTCGGTTTTATACTATCGACATAGCCGTAGAACCGGCCAATTCGCTTTCCTTTAAAAAAATGAATACATCGGAATACGATGTCGCGCACTCTCGGTCTTACGTATTATCTGATCTTATACACGATCGATAACACTATTATTAAATAGAAAATAATCTTATCTGACAGAATATTCTCCACGACATCATAATTAATGATGTATGTGTTAATAAGAGCGTTACTAGTATTCGCTTTTGCTGATAGCTTTTTCGAAAAACAGTCTATTACAATAGTAATCAGTCTTGTGGCAATCAAGATATCGTATCGATTTTCGTGTATTTACCGATTTGTGTGATAATGAAGATTTAATTCCTGGCTTAATAGCTGACAATGAAAGTATTGTAGATACTGAATCATTATTGATAAAACTGAATTGTTCTTCGTCATCAGTAGATGGTTTCTGTATCAATTAGCATATTATAATTCGAAAAATTCTTGAGAACGAGAGCTAAAAAGAATATCTATGCGACACTCGTGTCGACATCTCACAAGACATTTCTTGGATCAACATCAGCCATTTGACTTTATTTCTATGCATCACTTCGCTTTGTTCTTTGAAATTTAGTATATGATCGTTCATCGAAAATACTATAAAAAATTCTATACGCAATACATAAAAGTTCACATATAGAAATTCACTGAGTCAATTAAACAGCTTGTTGATAAAAAGAAAACTAGGTCACAATTATATATTGATGTAACAGCAGACGATTTGATTACGTAAAGATAAAAAAGTACAACACTGTTGACAGTTCATTGACAGTACTTCCGTGTTCCGTGCTGATCTCTATGTATTAATATTAGCATTCTGAATTATTTTCCAGATGATATCTAAAATGACATGAATTTTATTAAATAAGCTCGAAATGAGATCATTTCGAGCAGTGCTTGTAGCTAGCGAAAGCGTTGCACTTACTTTTCCATGTTTCTACTGGATAAGTTGCATCTTGATGTTGGTCAACTATTATATTTGCAGTCGGTTCACCTGTAGGAAGATGACATCCATCGAAAAATGGGTGAGCTATACAAACACATGTTTTGTTACATCAACTACATTCGCTAGATGAAAGTGTTGAAATAGTTTACCTAATGCTTCCGCTGCAGTTGGACGCTTACGATGATCAAAAGACAGAAGCTTACGAAGGAGATCAACACCATGAGGTGAAACGCCTGATACTGGTTGAAGATTTCCTTCAGTATACTTGTAACCAAACAATGTATTGAAATCTTCGCCAGGCTCCGATGATAAACTTAAGATAAACGCTACTACTTCTAAAGAACATATTAATGGTAATAATGATGTTATTTAATTATTCAAATCCTACTGCTATATTGATAAATTTATAAACTACGATTAGCAAAGAGTCATTCACTTTGACGAATGTTATTCAAATATTCGAAATTCCTTAATCTAAGTCTAATCTGTACGATATCTACAAACCCGGTGTACAAATTTCGCGGAGCGTTGTCTCATCAGGTGTACCAATTAATTTCAATATTTTCTTCAGATGATCAACATAATCCTTGCCAGGAACAATCGGCTTGCGTACAATTAATTCTCCCAGTATGCATCCGATAGACCATGTATCCAATTTATCATCGTATTTCTCCCAGTTGGTATAGACTTCTGGTGCACGCCACCATCTAACAAAAATGAATTTGTTACCGCGTGAAATAAATTATGAGTAGTGTACCTTGTTTGAACATAACCTGTTTGAATTTCGTTGGATGCAACACGAGCTAAGCCAAAATCAAGAATCTAACGAAAAATGAACAAACTCAGATTGATTTTTTTCATATGCAAAGAAAATATTTTTAAAATCCCAACAATTTCGGAAGAAAGATTTCAAAGTGCATTACAACCAACTGAATGACATTAAAAACAAATTGTCATTATTTTTTATGAGGACTGAAAAATGCGGTACACTTCTTCTACTTACCGTGATATACAACGTTTCAGGATCAATTCCAATATTTGATGGCTTTAAATCCTATTTGAACCATATGAAATATATCGTACTTTTTCATATGTACATAATTAAAGTATACTTACACGATGAATAATGTGAGCTGAATGCGCTAACTATGATTAAAGAATAGTAAAAAACATTTCTATTACATCGAAAACTCCTACTTTCAAACCACGAAGTATTGAATAAATGATCTTTTTAATTTCTGCTTCAGTCAACTGATGTTCGTTGATATAATCACTCAAACTGCGACCAGCATCTTTCATTACCAAATAACTGAAAAATAAATCTCATTAAGATGCGACAAGGTTTCTAATAAACAAACATACAAAGTTTGAAACTCTTGTAAGTTTTGATCAGGGGTGAAAACATCGAGTAACTGTGCAATCTATGTTCATAAAAGAAAAAGAAAACATTCATGTTAAAAGAAACTCATCGTTTACATACATGCACATCAGGATATTTCAGTTGCAAGAGTACTATGAGTTCCCGATAAGCTCGTAAGGCATATACTGGATGTTCTGGAAACGGGTTAATCAACTTTTTGATAGCAACCGTTCTTCCAGTTGTCTAGTTTATTAAATAATAATATATACAGATAATCTTATTGGCAATTATTCATACCGTATCTGTCAAACGGCTAAACGAAAAACATCATTATAGAGAATTTAGAGAAAATGTTTCAATTTACATTACAGCACCAAAAGCACCTTGCCCAATTTTTGTTGGATTTTGGTACCGAACAGGTATTTTAAACTCTTGATGATCACATTGAAATGTGTGCCATTGGGTTTGAGCAGAATTGTCAGTTGCCATGTCCGGTTCTGTAGGATTTGATAATACAGAGAAGTGAAGTAGAATAGATGCGTACAGCAGGATACTAGAAACAAAAAAGGAGAAGTAGCATCAGTTTATATCGAGTACACGAGTAGGGAAAAACCGTGGTAAGAATTTTCCAACAGTTTTGAATGGAGTGTATTGGAAAAAAAACAATTTATATTGGAATTTTCCACAGGATGAAAATGTTGATTTAAGAGTGATTTTACGCAATTTTAATGATGTTTTGTCCACGAACATTCTTTCTTTTCGGCGAAATATTCTGACGCGTTAATGGGATATGTTAGGGTAAGATTAGATTCATTCTTTTTTGAAGAGACGGAAGTGCAAAATTATGTCAACTGCTTCTCTCACAGACGGGCTACAGACTTGACAATTATCCAGCGTCCTCATGAAACATACAGAATTCTACGTGTCAATTTCATCAAAAATATATGTTGTTTTTGGCGCGTACTCTAAGAGTAAACAAGGCAATCGTCGGTGACATCGTCTTGTTCTTCCGTTCTTGATTTCATCGCTTCTGTGGGCAAACAGCGATCCGTACGTGCAACTATTGCATAAATAATCGTAAGATTGGCGCAATGCAAAATCCGAGCAAAATTTTTTTTTGTCAATTTTTTAATGGATTCCGATGTGGTTTGATGCACTGAATCCGAATATGTATGATTTAATTATATAAGAAATGATCTTCCTGCCGGAAATCGAAAAATACTGCGAAAACCGAGGGGTTAAAAAAAACAGGTTTTTCTACTGCGATTTTGACGATGGCGCTGCGAAAAAGTTTACTATAGCTTTGAAAGTTTTTTCCGTGAATTCAGCATCAAAAATTGACACTAGGTTTTCATCGCTCAACGCATATCTTTCCCCTTGAAAAAAATTATTTCTTTTCACACACCAACCATTCAAGTGAAGCTCATTGAAAATGCATCAACTCATTTTCTAATGAAGGCAGACACTTTTTTCTTTCGCCATTCGACTTCTCGGATACCATAGATATAATTTACGTATTATCTTTCCTTAACTCACTTTCTTTCTCAAAATTTCCTAGTCATTTTTCGACCACTCATTTCGTACATGTATTTTTCGATTTTTAACAGCAATTTTCGCTTATTTTCTTTTTTCCAATCTAATTATACGTTCGGAATGAGAAAGATCGTTGTTATTATCATTTGAAGGGCTGATCTAACTATTTTGAAAAAATTTTGTGGGTATGAGTGAAATTAGATTGGTTGAGGGTGGGTGCAGTCACCGTATGTCTAAAGCTTATAAGAGTACTCATATTTCTTAGACACCTTCACCCACACCCTCAAGATATCTCTACCTTAGAGTTTGAGTATAAGGTGCAGCTGACAAAGAATTTCATTAAACATCCGAATGACTAGTTGTAAAAAACTTAGATACTTGACATCGTGAAAAACAACGCAAAAATAGTTCCGATACTTTCATTAATGTTGCTTCTATAACCTTTACCTGTAAGCACACGTGATTCTTTTCTCTTTCCTGTGCTTTGAATAGTTTTTCTCGGTAGGCAGTGATGGGAAGTGAATACAAACACCCTTTTCATGCTTACAACGGCACTCATACACTAAATGAAAGATTCATACATTGCGTTAATGTAAGCTGTGTTCTCTATTAGAATGTTTTACTTTATGAATACAGAAAAGAATATGCAGAGCAGAAAAGAACATGAACAACAACAACAACAACAAACAAAAAGGAAAAAATGACAAAATAGATATTGACGATCGCAGTTAGATTAATACAGAATCGCATAGTAAGCAGAAGAATACGATGGGCTTGTTGTTGAAAACAGACAACACCGGATGTGAGAATACGTATAGGAGATGGAGGAGGAGAAAAAGAAATGCAGCTCGAGTAAGCAGTGAAAAATAAAAAGGGCAAATGAGACAAGAATAAATTCATTCGATCATAGGAGACAATGTTGAACAAAATGGAAAAGAAAAGAAAGTTTTAAAAACTACAATAGCCTATTATTTCTTTTTACCACCTGCCGATTGAGGTTTCTCAACGCCATAACCTAAATTCATAGAAATATGTTAACAACTGACAATATTTTACACAATTAACTTATCACCTTGTTGTGGATATTGAGTAGCCCCCGCCATTGGATAGGCTGGTGCCGCTGAAACAATACAAAATAGTAGACAAATCATTTGTTCTTCATCACCGCTTACTCATATTAAAGAATGGATTGTATGGATTATAACCAGGTGGCATGGGAAAGAATGGTTGCATGTATGCACCTGGGTATGGCAATGAAGAACCATCTAAAACAGAGGAAAATTTTTCACTGATTCATTTCTCTATCTTATAGTCTTACCAGGTGTTGTCGTTGGTGGTGGGCCACCAGTTGGTGGAGCCGACGGCTGTTGAGATTGAGGGTAAGGTGGAGCAGCACTAGCTGCATATGGATTAGCTCCTATAGGAGAGAGAAGAGTGGATTTACACGTATTATTCAAAGCAACGAATATTTCGTACCAGCTTGTTGTGTCGATGCTGTTGTTGTCGGTTGGTTTCCTCCAACAATTCCTCGTTGTATGTCTTTCATCAGATCTTCTTTTTCCGTTTTACGAGCAAAGACAAAATCAGATACTTTATTTTGAAATTTGAGCAATAATGGTGTCAGATCATTATAGAACTAAATAGAAATGATTTTCAAGTAAGAATATGAAATATCAACAACATCTTGCTTACTTTGGTTCCTTCTTTCAAATTACTCAATAATTCTTGAAAAGCATCATATGCTCGTGCGAGATTCTTTAGCATTTCTTCGCGCATGGCTGATGATTCGTTTCCTTGTTTTTCATTTTGAAACTGTTGATGAGCACGACGAATATTTTCAACTAATTGCTCTTGTTTCGAAACACTTTCTGTTATTTGTTGACGCAATGGTGTATAGATCGATTCGATTTCATGTACAACAATACTGTTTTCGTCGTTGTGCGAGCCTTGTTGAAACGCTGCAATCAAACGTGCACGAACACCATCAGAATCTGTATTTTTTAATTCGGATTCCATCACTTCACGCTCAGCTTTGATAGCTGCTACAGTTTCCATCAAACGCTGTAATTCACGTACACTGAATGAATCACGTAATGCACCAGCAGCCGTTGCTGATGGAAGTTCACCCGCAAGTTCATGCTGAAATGAATTAGCATTGTTTCAATTGAATGTCATATTGGGAAAGACTTGTACTTACTGTTTGTTTACTAAGTAAAACAATGCAATCTCGATTCATACGATATTTTTCTTGGACAATTCGATCTGCATTGATGGCATTTTGAATAATATCCATGTATTTCTTTGCCTCTTCACGTAATGGAACAGTCAAAGTTGATGAAACTGTACGTGTCCAACGCTCTTTAAATTGATTACGTAATTCAGTATCACCGCGTTCTTCGTCATCGAGCATACGATTTGTCTTAAGAAAAATGGTAATAAAAAATAATAAACATGAAAAGAAGAAGATCTTACTTCATCAAGAATTTCCTTGTTTCGTTGTAACGATTCAGGCAACTCATTGACCATCTTGTCTAAGGTATTAATACCACCTTGCCGTTTGATTTCGTTCGATTTTTCAGCAACTGAGGGAGGAATTTCACGACCACCTCTATCTTCGATAGCAGCAGGTAAATTAAGCGATGCCAAGAGTCTAAAAGATGAGATAATCATTCATAGCTTATCAGTACATTACTCGATATTTCACATACGAATTTAAGACGTTCGTTGCTTCACGAAGACGATTAATTTCAATGTTCATGATTTCTGCTCGTTTCGAACTAAATGCTGCCAATGCATTATTTAATGCAATTGGAACAAGCGATGCAAAAAGATCTAGAAACATACTTTTCTCTCACAAACGTAATCGTTTTATTTGATAAAAGTTTTACCTCTAAAATCCGGTGTAATCGGAAATGTAACTGGTAATGGTTTCGCAATTGGCTGTGCTATAATCACTTCGAGTGTTTTCACATCCGGTACACGTTCGTGGTAAACGAAATCATTATCTTTCTTTGCAGCAGTCAAGGCTTTGTTAACTTCATCTTGATTTGCACGCAGTACTGGTGTAAAAGCAGCTATTGTACATTTACTCACAGCTTGATCGGCAAAGTCTTTGGCATGCTAAAACACAAATCAATATTCACTCGCTTTCGAATATTTTTATTGAACTTACTTCATAACGTGCGACCTTGAGACCGTATTTTCGATCAGCCTGAGCTTGATTACCAGCATGATATTCAGTTTTCGATTGAAATAACAAGTGTTTAACAAACATAATATTGACATAATTCTAAATGAGAGACATTGTCGATTTCACAAGTGTTCGACATATAAAATTGCTTGTCAGAGGACGGTAACTACTTATTTTCTCAAGAAAAGAAAAACATCACGATTATACCGATGCAGAGAACAGAAAAAGAACATGACGTTTCCATTACTACACATTTAGAATATTGAATCTAACTTTCTACGTGATATTTTGCTGAAGAATCACTTACCTCTGGAATGATTTTCTTTGCACTTTCGGTTTTTGACGATGTATACGCTTCCTTGTAACAATCTGCAGCATGTGCTGCAACTTTCGCAGCAATATCATCTAAATCCAATGCACATCAACAGAACTGACATAAACAATCGATTTGGTCTACCTTTCAAGCTCGCTGATTTCATGTAAATAAGTTCAGCAGCTTGAGCTAACATCAACCATGACATACTTGCTAAGACTGCTGGTTCAAAATCAACGGAGAGATCCGATAATGAATTAGCATTAACATAATCTTTCAGGAACGAAAAAACGCCTGATGCTAATTGAAAATATCTCAATGCTGTTTTCATCTGATCATCAATCGAGAGATTTTGCGCCAAAGCTAACTCGCTATAAGCATGTCCAATGTTGAACAGAACACACGCTTTTTCGTAGGCTAATTTCCATGAACCATTCGTTTTTTGTTTACTTCCAAATAAACTTCCACCACTAACAAATCCATCTTGCCATTTGAAATAAATTCGAATTTGGTTTTCCGTTATTGGTAGTTTGTGTTCGATCGCACATATTTGATCATAATATCTATAAAATGAATATTCGATTGAGAAGAATAGGGTCGACGAGAACATTACCGAAGTAGTTTGGAACAATCGTCTTTATAATTACTGCGAAGTAATGCTTCAGCACGAAGAGAATTCAGACCATCAACAGAAGCTGAATAGTCTTCTTTATCACCAAAAGTTGCTTTAATAAAATTCTTGATTGGCGTTGAAACATTGACATCAAACGCTTTCTTCGATGGGACCGTAAGAAATTGATTTGGATTCGTAGCCATAGTTTTTGAAATATCACTCTAGAAAGAAGCAGCTCGATGTTTTATGAACAAAGTCAAATCTGACATACTTGTTTCTTCTAGACAGAAGAGTAAGAGAAAAGAAGAAGTTGCTCGATCGTCATCAAACAATCAACAATGAGTCATGATGACTCGTAACCAATCAAAACAATTCCAATCGATAGATGGCTTTTCAATAGAAATATTCATCAGAAAAATCGATGGATAAACAAGAAAAATAATGGCAAATTATTATATTCTTTCAGCAGATACCGATGACTAATCGTATTTGATCTGATGAGTCATTGAGTGTTTGTCAAGTATCCTATTCGGGGTAGTGTTGTGTAGGTGTAGAATACTTCTTCTTCATCCACCAACTATGGCCGGTTCACAGCTAGCATTAATCAAAAATTTATGTCTCTGTTATTGTGATAATAAACCAGGTATTATTCTGAAATGACCAATACATTTCATTCTTTTTACGACTTCTATAGATGCTTTGGATAGAACTGTAAATACAGTTTCACATTTACTACATTCGTAAGTACGCAAATCCTAGGATTATCGAATTATCGAGAGGATTTGTTCTAGACAACATGGAAATACTTACCAAGACGATATACGATTGCTTGACAAGATTTGGAAGCATTGTAAATAGAACTTGTTTGGCGAGTCTTTGTTGTATTTGTTTGTTATGTAATATAGTTCAAAAATATGGACGAAATCAAGAAATGCTTCGTTTCGGGCAAGTCTATGCTCGATTAAATAAACTTGTAAGTTTCTGAAAACAAAATATTGGATTTTATTAATTTCCATGTGGAATACGCTTTTCATACTTTAAAGTACATTGCTATTCTAAATAGGAACTATACTCTCAAGAGATCTGTTTGAATAAGCGAAGAGGAAAAAATGATTCATTTCGGATTTTTGTTGATACTTGCCGATTGTTCAATTGAATACATCCGATTTTTCATCTATTTAGAAAGTTTTAAAAGTCCGATTGGAAACACTTCAATTTCTCTATGCACTGGCTGATACAGCCTCGACAGAGCGTTCTCATGACTCGATAAGTCGTCCACTTCCAACCTCGTCGGCAAGTAGCTTTGACATTCCATCATTTTCACTTCTTTCAACTCGATGCGAATCATCCAATGGTAAAGAGAATGGCTTATCTCATAATTCTTCGCACATAAAATCATCGACATCATTACAAAAACTTCTTCAATATTCAAACGGTGATGAATCTGCTCTTTCAACTACTAATCAGCATCAATTAACAATGAATCATACAAACAATGAAATCGACACACTTTCAGGTGCCAAACGAGATAGTGACGAAGCGAAGATTTTACGCGAACTTTTATTCGGTATGCAAGGCATCGAAACACCACGTTTGTCAGGCAATGATACAAATATCGATCGTTGTACACGTTCATTAATCGCTCGTTTTCTCGAATGTGGATGGTTGTATGAAAAAATTCGAAAGATTATTAATACACCAACAACAAGCCTTGTCGCTCAAGCTTTCGTTGCAAATCTCTCGAGTGAACTACGAGAATACCATCGACTGATCTCTGTTATTGAACAACAAGTAAAGCACATCTGTCACGAATCAATAAACTATTTCTTGAATTTTAGGCCAATACACCTGGTATGGTATCATTGAAGAAACTCCATGTATGGATGTGCACGCCGATGCAACGTTTGAAATGTCTTGCCGCTGTTGCTGATACATGTCAAGGTTAGTGTTGTTTCTGAGTACAAAACATACAGTTATACTTTTGAATTTCAGGTAAAAAAGGTGGACAACTTCTTTCGGTACTTTACATGCATAGTCAACATGGCGATACATTGCAACAATCAATACTTTATCCATTGCTTTACAATTGTACAATACCAATACGAGATATGATTGTCGAATGGATTTGCAATGGAATTATCAATGATCCTTATCAGGAATTTTTCGTTTCGACTGATAAAATGGTTAGTGAAGAGAAGTTATGGTATGATAAGTATACGTTACGCGTACCGATGATTCCATCGTTTATTTCCATGGAACAAGCAAAGAAAATTTGGATTACGGGAAAATCGATCAATTTCTTACGTGTTGTATGCAAAGACCGAACAATGTTACAGATATTGAAGACACCTGCGCCGTGTAAGTGAAGAATAGAGTGACTTACAAGGAATTGTTGCTTTTTTCATTTAGCTCAAAGTTTGTTTCAACAACAACGGTCAACGGAGTTTCAGGATATGATCGTTTCCGTTTATAACGATACGACACGGTATCTTCGTTCAATTCTCGATGACAAATATCAAATGATGGACCATTTCAAAGCAATAAAACGTTATTTATTACTAGGTCAAGGTGATTTCATCAAATACTTAATGGATTTAATGGAAAATGAATTAAACAAAGCTGCCAATCAAGTTTTCTACCACAATCTTCAATCCTTAATGGATGCAGCAATTCGTGTAACCAATGCTCAATATGAAAGCGAAGACATTATCAAACGTCTGGATTTACGTTTGATGTACGTTTCACCATCCGAACTCGGCTGGGATGTTTGTTGTCTTGATTACAAATTCGATGGACCATTGCGAACAATTTTTACCGAGGAAAATTCATTACGATATATGAGAATATTCAATCATCTATGGCGTGTCAAACGCATGGAATATACAACATGTGGCGTATGGAAACAACTGATTAAATCATCGAGACAATTCGCCGCGATTCCGGGTAAAAATATGACTTATTTCGCAAAAAGAAAACGATTCTTCTTTTTTTTTTAGAAATATCCGATATGACTCATTCATGCTTTGTCATGTCAAACGAAATGACGAAGTTTGTGCAAAGTGTAAACTATTATATCATGTTCGAAGTTCTCGAATGCTCATGGAGTGATTTATTAAATAAATTAATGGAAGCGAAAGATTTAGAACAAATTCTAGAAGCACACGATGATTCATTATTAAAAATCTTAACACGTCTACATCTCGATGGTCATGAAACAAGCCAAGAATTAGCTAAACAATTGCGCTGTATATTTGATTTAATATTGAATTTCGGTGCGATTATCCAGCGTTTGATTCAGTGTGTTGAGACGGAACTCGCAGCACGAAAACCGTATCAACAGCAACAACGTCATGGAACTTTTACGAAAAATAACGACTCGGTAAGGAATGAACTTGCTCGAATTTTTTGACACGAAAAACTTGCGGTTGTTTAGGATACGGAAATTCAAAGATTTCATACGGTATTCAAACCACAGTTGAAAAAGATCAAAAGCGATTTCTTAATCGTTAAAAAAGCATTTCGAGTATGTGAGAAGGAAATCACTCGAACTTATTTCTTTTATTCAATGTTTTCTAGGATGCTGTATTGAAATTTCTTCAACAATTAAAGTCTCATCCTGATATAACTTTACGTTCGTTAAGCTTTCGCTTAAATTTCAATGAAGTCTACAAAGTATCACATACATCGAAATCAACTGCATAGAACACCATGTTTTTCTGTAAACTTTCTTTCTTAATCTCAAAATTGATCATTTTTTTTTATTGATATTTGTGCTAACCTGTAGACAGCAATGATTTTCTTATTTTGTTAGGGGTTGTGTTCTTGAAAATAGCTTTTTCTTCCAGAATAAAAAACCAAACGAGTTTATCTTCAGATGATGGATTCACCCGATTGGTCAATTTTCATCTTCATTGGTTTCGTTCTCCTCGGTACGATCTGTCTGATGTTTAAATTAACAGTTGGATCGTGTTATAAACCTCCGCCATCGACATTCAATCAACGATATGATGACAAAAGAATTTAAGTCGAGAATGGCGACAAGTTGTCATCCATGAACTCAAGGTTTTCCTTTTTGACTTTCATTCATGTGATAAGTTTGTTATTTTTCACTTCATTTCATAAGGTGTACTTCAATCGAAGGTATATGTATATAAAACAACGTTTTTTTCCACTAGAGAATAAAAATAATTCAACATAAAGAAAAAGGAAAAGATGAACATCATCAAGAATAGAAACTGAATGAAAATAATAAAAAAATAATAATCAACAGTGAACTTTTAAAGAATAATATGTGGCTGATAACTCAATGAACTAGTTGTAACTGTTGTCCATTCACTTGAACCAGTAGTACTTGAATATGTCGTGGATTCGATCAAATGATTCGTTGTTGAATCAGTCGATGGCTGCATCGAGCTTTTACTTTTCGTTCCATTTCGCTTTCTTCGAGTATTTACAAGTGGTGGACTATCAGCAGGTATAATTCCTTTCATTGATGATGACGAAATTATTTTTGTTGATGACATTGCTTGTTTGATTCGTGGTCGATTTTTATTCCACGTTACATAATAGATCAGAAATGACAGACCAGCAACAAGTAAACCAATACAAATACCGAGAAGAAGCATCCAGATACTGCTTAGATTTGTTTTCGACGATTTGCTCTTGTCTCTATCGGCAATCAAAGATTGTAAATCGGATGTTTTATTTTGCGCGTGTAATGCAGAGGGTTCGAGATCAGAGTGATTCGAACGAATCTCAGTTTCATCGCCCTCCTCATCGAACATAGGTGGACGAAAATTAGGTGCTTGAATAACACTCAAACGAAGTGGCAGTATTGTTCGTTGTGGTGAAGGAAATGTTAATGAGATATTTAAGCACGGATTGAAATTTACTGATGTACAAATATGTAAGAGTGGACGAAGAACATCAGTGTAAAGAATTGTATTGTTATGTGTGATGATATCATCGTAACCTAGTGTTGACCGTGGTCCACGTTTTTCTGTTAGAGTATACCGTCGATCGAAGCTGGTTTGTTCGTTCAAATGAACGGCGAGAATCTTTTCTTCTAAACTCAAATAGATGATTTTCGTTGAGAAATCAATTGTTGCTGTACATGGATATGGTCGATTATCGTATGATGAAGGTATTTTGAATAGAAAATCACATTTATTGACACTTAACGAACAACGTATGACTGTACACCAACCGTAAGAATCGCCGATTATGTAACCATCGGATGTCAACTGATCGATAATTAAATCGCTAATACGTAGATTTGGACTTAGTTCACGTAAACGATTCATAAATGGGGCTGAACCACGTGCGCGTGGTCGTTCTAATAAGTCGATTGTTTGAATATCTGAATGACCATACACATAGAGTATTGATGAAACATGATGAATGTTAACAAATAACGGCATTTCACTGCGAATTGAATTCATCAACGAATGATTCGAAAAATTCGAGATCCACCATCCATCGGAATATTGCATACGATAAACAGTGCGCTCATGTGGTGCAGTCAAATAAATATGACCATGTTCGTCACCAGTCACATCGTGAAAACGCGGCACATCTTCCTGAGAGAGTAAAAGATGAAATGAATCATCACCACCAAATAAAACTGGCCACCAAACATAAACACCTGAGAGAGATGTCAAAACTACAACATTTGCTGTTGAATCGCTTCTCGAAGAAGAAGAATCATGTGCATGATGGTCTTCGTTTTCATATTCATCCGTGGGTATATCGTTCTCGTCAACAGATGGTTTGAAACGATTATGAATCAATGTTGTAAGATTTCGTAATTTCGTTTTTTGAGCGAATGCTCGATCGTGAATGTGTGATGAGCTGTCATTCTTTTTCGATCGTAATTTATCTTTCAGAGATGATGGCGATGATGGTGACCAAGCAAATGTCAAATGAATGACGAGAACAGTAATGGTAATAAGAATTGCCGAATATTGATAATAGATCATCGAAAAGTAGAACTAAACCAACTGAATGAATGTCAATCATTAGCGAACAGATAAAAAGGAGAGAAAAAGGGAAAGAGAAAGATACTCTTCAGATTTGATTTGCTGTCTATAGGGCATAACGAGGGAGAGAGAGAGCGCGCGAGATTGTTCTTTCGTTTCGCTTCGAGGTAGACTAAGCCGAAAAGCACTATGTGATTTGATCCTGTTTATATCTAATGAGAATGATGCAAGTATTATTGTACATATACGCATATGTGTCTATCATTATTCTTTCTTTCTTTTTTATTTACTACAACATATCCTCTTGTACTAAGGCTACACAATCGTCTCCTCTTTCTTTATTAAAACTAATATTTGAGATAAATTGTTTGAGACAATCTACAGACATACGTGCACACACACTCTCATTAACATTATAAAAGAAACGATGATGGCCAACAATAACAAGGAAGCAAGGTGACTGTCTTGGTCAATGAACAGATTTCGTCATCCGATAGAAAGCGTGAGAAATAAGAGAAGAAGAAACCTCTCAAAAATGAAGAACAAATGCATAAGATACCCTATCAGAGCGCATCGATACGAGAACTATTTCTCCCACTATTCTAGAGGACATCAAACGCGTGTACATTTTTTTTCTTTTTTCACTTTCCACTTCAATTTGTTCTAAGCAATAGTGCGTCACTAATTTACTACTTAAATGAACATGCGATACTACTTCTCCTTTTCTCATTGACAAATACTCTAACTTCGAACTGTTCGTTCTTTTTCGTTTACCCATTAATCATGGTCATGGAACAGAAATCAATTCTTCTATTTGGCATCATTGTCGCGTCTTTTGTCCCATTGTATATACGTACGCTAAATGGCACAAGGAGGTTCTAGACTACTATAGACGCCATATGCTAGTCATATTTTTGAGGACGATCAAACTATGATCGAACGGTTAATAATTATGTTGCGCATTGATGATGAAATTTAATGACGTGATCATTCAAGATATGAAACATCGCTTTACCTGTTTGTGGTTACCATTGGAATCTCCGTGGCGAATGAGCCGGATTACTTTACAGTTTCACTTAAAATGTTGAAGATTCGATTATACACACGTGTACCTGCCAATCTGGAGAGTCTTTGTAATCGCTCCTCGAGAACTTTTCGTTTTTTTTCCTATACCGTCTGAGCACTCTCCCATCCGCTTTCTTTCTCTCTCTCTCTTTCTCTTTCTTTTATTCTGTGTCCTCTCTTTCATTCTCTTTTCGTTTTGACATTAGTCAACGCATAGTAAACCTTACACACAACGAATGAAAAAGAAAATCGAGACACTATTATGTGCACACGGTGTAAAAACCCGTACTGTAGTTTTTTTCTCTGCTCGTTTTATATATATAAATAATAAGACGTTGCTGCCGTCGTCACTTTTGATATCTTACAACTACGAGAGAATTGATTTTTTTGCTTGTTCTTTCTATTGTAATATCCTTGATAATTTTTATCGTCTATCGTATATCAGATCGTCTTATACATCGAGAAGAAATAATGATGCTGACGTGACACGCACAATGAATCGATAAATTATACTTTTTTATATTTCATTACTGTTTTCAAATATCAAGCAGTTCATATCTGTGTCAAAACGAATAGTTCCCAGCATTGAAGACAAAGAATCGAACCGATCATCTTTTAGACTTCGTAGACTTCCAAATAAATGTCAGAAGTGAATCAATAAGTAGAAATTCACTATTTGACGATGATCTTGCATGTGTATTGACTTATAAAAAATAGATCTATTGCATGTTTTCAATGACATTTCATGTCTCAAGAGAGAAAATTTAGTCTACTCAAATATGATTTGCTGAGGAGAGAGGAAAACTAACACGTCATTGTTTACTAACCTCAAGTGCATCTCTCCGGTACAGTTTTATGCATATATGATCATTGCTACTATCGAATGAAATCAAGGTCAAGAAAGTCAACGAATAAGTTGTCTCGAAAGCTCGACAAAATACCGAATCTGTGGATTAGATTGATTTTTGATTGTTTGGCTGAGACGTTGTTCCGCCCCTGTGCCATTGTCTTTGATCTTTGAATGTTCATTTGATGAAAAGAAATCAAAATTAGGAAGCAGATGCTGTCAAACGATCGTTAATACGTCAGCTTTAAGCATCACTCTTTTGTTTGTCTACGCTTTTCTTCTCTCTCCCGTCTCTTTCTTTTGTCTTGATGATCAGTCGACATGAGAAGAAAAAACAAAGCTTATCTACTTCGAAATTTATTGCGTCAGAATGAAAATTTTCAATTGGTACTCAGACTTCTCTTCTGATAATAATAAACCTAAGATCAGATGAATTTACGGTACAACAGTGTTTTCGACGCGAAGGTCAATCTTTCACCATAATTCGCAATTGATTTGTTCGATAACTCGTGGCGAAAAGTTTCAATAAGAAGTCTTCAATTGAAGATAAATAATCACGCTCGTCAAGATCAACAAACCGATGAATCGCATTTTGCCTTGATATATAAAGGGAAAAAGAGTTTAGTGGTCCAGTCAGTCTTATATTTTAAACATTATAATCAATCTCTGTATATAATTGCACTAGAAAGTATTTATCAAATATTGATCTTAAGGTTCACATCTACACAAGGATAAAATGCCTGAATAGAAAATTGAATAGAAGAAAGAAGAAAGACGAGGATGTAATCCTTCGAAGATTGTATGCATAAAAGGCATATTGAAATATACTTGAAAAAGAAAATATGAACAACAAATAAAATTTGACGTGCTTTTAAACTCAAGGGCTTCGATTCTCCCAGTTAACTTCGTTTTTGTGTTCAATTCTATTCAATTGAATCGTTTACAAACACATATTTCCCGTACAATTAGTCATGTCGGATGGCGTCATGAATGAATGTGTTATTTCAATGACATACTATCAGTGACGATAAACAAATACAATTAGAAGACAGAATACTTTATCACAAACGACACATCATTGGAACAGATATTACATATCAATTGGTATACGTATTTAGGTAGAAAACAGAAATACTTTATCAAGGATTGACAATAGAAAAGCGTTTAGGATGTTTCTCTTGAGTATCGAAGCACAAAAAGATATGAATGACTTAGAAAATAAATAATAACTGTCAGATATGATGCATATAGATAAATTCGAATATTTTTATTCACAGACTGGCAAGTAGTCATATTTACGAGCACAATCGTTATTCATATGTCTAGCGGAGATTAGCAAAGAATTGATAATACATGTTTTCAACATGGTCAAATGACTTAAGAGTTCGTATCTGCTTGAAAATGAAACAATATTCGTTCGAAAAATTGTATCGTCTTTGGCAACGATGCATGTTAATCATTGATATTCGTTTCAATGAAATTTATTTAAGTTGATTATTCATGTTCAGTTTCCCATTCCACACATGAATAACAAAAGTTCGTCAGAAAGAAAACAAATCGAAAGTGCTGGAAATGGATTTTGATTTGAAATTCTATGAATAATCAATGAAAATGCCAAATATTTGCAGAAAGGTGAATATTTTATCAATAATTCTTTGCGCTAGCTTTCAATTCTTATGGCAAATACCCTATTATCTGATTCATCCATTTGATCTCTTGAGTAACCCATACTGAAGAGGAAAAAAGTTAAAAAATCAGATCTCCGCTTTTTAAACTGCTTTTATCTGTGTTGTGAAGGTTATACAACGATCCGATTATCTCAACGGTTCGAATTACCATCGAGCATGAATCATTTCACACGTCATTTTGGTCACTTAGGTAATTTTCTAATTAATTTTCAAACATCCAATCGGTATGACTTTCATCTCCTTACAAATCGTAATTACATTTTCATTTATTCTAAAAAAAGACAAAAATATTTCTATGTCATCAGCTTTAATGACATTGAAATATCACTATGTTGGTTAGTTACGGAGATGTGAAAGGATTTTATGCATAATCACAACATATTTGCGTACGGAAAGAACTCGATTAGAATTGATAGAACGAAATCAAGGTTGGCTGTTGGTTTCGTTCGTATTTTTTTTTGACATCTTTTACACCTTCGCTTTGTTGACAGTCAACGAGGCGAAATGTTTTATTATTTTTATGATTCGGAGCGTGTTTATTGATTGAATATGGAGTTTTGTTTCTGTCAACATATGCCTATTGGACGATGTCTTGACAAAAAATCGTGGAAAAAAAGAGAATTCAAATAAAAATCAAAGGACGTCAATCTTCATGAGAACAGAAACAAGGTTTTGTTGAAACAAAGCATAAACCTTCAAAAAGCTATATCGAATCAGCTTGCAAGCCAATGCGTCATCGATAATAAATGAATATGAATCATCTCTAAGCAATGTCATCAAGACGAATAAGAAAAGAAAAGGTTCCTAAGAAATTAGTACGGCATGTCGATCGAATGAAAAATAGTAGAGCCTGGAGGGAAAAAAGAAATCTATGGCCGCCCATTACTAACATATGTGACCGATAGTTATATATAGCATTTCAGTATTACACGGATAATTCCTTTTTTTTAAGGAAAAAAGAACCACGAAAAAAAATATCACGAGCTGCACGAGAAGACATCTAAAAATGTTTTCTTTCACCTCCTACTCTTCTTAAATCGCATATTATGACGAATAGACAAAGAACGAAAAAAAAAAGAAAGGGCAGAACAAAAAAGCACAGTTCTTCGCTTGTATATATATACACTCATTCTCAAGACATTATACATAATAGAACAAGCAATCGTGACAATTTATTTTTCAACAATATGAACTCGCTTATTCGTGACCTCTAAGGCACTGTCTATTGTCGATTTCTATTACAAGAACACTCTCAATCTCTTCAGCTTATTCCAATCGTATCTCAATCAACAGTAAGTTACCGTCGTATGGAACTGATCTTCCATTGGATCGATATGTGATTTATCTTTTCAGTGCAGTGTATACTACCACAAGGACAAACCACACCTGAACGAGCTTTATCCAATCCTTGGTTTGACAAAGGTTTTTGCGAACCACATCAATACAGAGCAGCACTTGATCGTTGCAAAGGTGGCTATGAATCATGTGATATGTTTATCGACATCTTCGCAGAGCGCGTTTGTCTCGAACGAGAATATGCAGCCAACTTAGAGAGATGGGCTGCATCAAGCATCAAACGAATCAGCCAATCGAAAGAATTCGGAGTTAATAAGAAAGTTTGGGTGGAATCGATTCGAGCTTCCAAAGAAATCGGCAATACTCATACGGATATCGCTCAACGTCTTCAAGATACTGTTGTGGAGAAAATGGTAACTTATAAGAAAGACAACTATGGCAAATCAATTTTACATGTGAAGAAAATCAAAGAATTCGAACGCGATTTTGAACAAGCACAAAAGCCTTGGTTGAAGTTACTTGACAAAATTAACCGAGCGAAGAAAGATTATCAAGATGCTCAACGTCAGTTCAAAAAAGCTGAAACAGCCGAGAAAATCATCGAATCTGATCGTGGCGCTGAAGAAGAACAAAAAACCAAAGTGCAACTAAGTGTTAGCACCTATAAAAAACAATGTGAAGCGCTCAAAAGCAAATATCTTCAATACATCGAAGAGATGAAAAGTACTCGAGCCAATTACGAAAACGCAATGAAAGAAGTTCTCGATCGTACACATTCATTCGAACGCAAACGTCTGGCACAATTCAAACTCCTATTTACTGCTTTTCAACAAGCGCTGGTGATCGACAAAGACCCTCATTTGGTTAAGATGGCTGAGGCATTTACACAGTCATTAAACACTCATGATGCGGATAAGGATATTCAGTGGTGGAATTCCCATTTCGGTAGTGATACAAACACGAACTGGCCATCATTCGAAGAACTAAAAGATTAATTCGATTCACAGTATTGTGATGTCAAACAGATCAAATGGCATGGCGTATATCGAAGAGGAATTCCTGAAGAAAAAGAAATTTATATTTCTTTCGATCAGATTGTAGGACTAAATCAGAATAGTACGAAGATGTTATCAAACAAAACATTGGATTCTTTCTCGATCTATACCAGGCCTTGTTCGACTTTGACACTGTTGTACAAACTGAGAATGTGTTTTTTTTTCTGTTATTGTATTTAGTTAATTTTTCATGTATCTTTCTTTTTGGCTTTGATGTTATAATATGCATATTTTTCAATGAATGTCAATCAAGAACGAAATATTTCGAAAGAATAGCTTTTGATGCTCTATCGCCTTTATACAACTGCTTTTTCTTCTCAAGAGGTATTGAATTGCTGGTAAACAACATATTTTTTATGTCGAAGTCAACGTTTTGATGATTGATTCATTGTAGATCTCTAAATGCCGCTTATATTATTCATGCATTTCATAAGAACATGACGGACATTTGAATTATATTGGTGTGATAACATTTATTTCAAATTATAGATCGATTGAATCGTTAATTGCCATGAATCACAATGACGTGTATTCTTTTCTCTACGTTCTATGTGTATATTGACACACGAAAACATCTACACACCTTGAGCGAAACATAATCAGCTTTTTTTCTAACCAATCGACTTCAGCGAGAGCAACAAATTCACATGACATGTTCTCCGACTTGTTATCACAGTTGTTTGGTGATCTAACAGACATGTACCTCTGAGAACAAAGCATCCAAATGATATACTGTAATTGCTCAGAGAGAAAATATAATATTCAGTGTAACATATGCGACTGTAGTTTCAAAAGAAGCAATTTCTCTTTGGTGTTTGTCGTAAAAATCGCTAGGATAAACAATTGCTACTATTGAATAACCATTTACCAATATCTTCTAGTCAATCAATAATCGATCGCATCAACATTTACCAATGCGGAACTGTCTATTGATATCGAGAATGTCATGGAATACTCTAAAACAATTTTCTATTGTTATTTCATGATGAAAACTCGAACAGAATGCAACATGTCGATTTCTAAACGGGTGTTGAAGGATACGAAGCTTTCTCTTTCCTAGTAGTAATATAATATGTTGTCAGAGTTATCATCTTAATAAAGTTGATAAATGAATTCATAGACATGATGATAAACGATATGGCCATCTTTGTAAATCATCGCTTTTTTAATATTATTTATCCTTTTTATATGTATTAGAAATGCCGATGGTTAATTCGTCAGATTAACACTCGTTTGAATGAGATACAGTCGATCATCGTAGTTATTTCGTAGGAAATAAGATGGGTTTTTTTTATGAATATGTATGAGAGTTTCTTTTGTAGAAGAAAAAATTCATGAGAGTGAAAAATCAGGTAAATAATAATGTTAAGGATAGGTATAAACACGCTCAAACGCGGTTATTGACAGATTGAAACTGTTCCTGACCAAAGAAGACGAATAGAAAAAAAAGAAAACTGAATAAAAATGTATGATTTAGACTGATGTATGTTCAAATATTAGAATCAATAGGATTTGATTTGAAAATTTTGTAAAATTGTTCTCTAAACTGCATGTATATATGTTTTTGGTTGGTCATCTTCAATTCTATTTGTGCATTTAGGCTTCTTCGCCACCTTCAGCGCCTGCTGATGATGAGCTAGCACCACCTCCAGGTTGTTTACTAAATTTATTTTCTAATTGTTTACGATTACGTTCATGAGGGTGAAGTTTGTCCTGATAACAATCTAAGCGAACGACACAATGAATGGATATCGATGGAATTTGATTTAGTTTGACTTACTTTTGCAATAGACATCTTGAGAGAAGTCTTTATATGAAGCCAAAGTTAAAGTACTGTTGCCTGGAATGAATTCGAATTGTTGAGCAAACGATTTGTTGAGAGAAATAAATTACACTTACATGTTTTGCATTTGAAGCAAGCCTTGTGCCATGTAGAACTACAGGCAAGAAGTTGTTCGGCTGGATAGACAGTCTTTTGGCACCGTGGGCATTTTTCACCACCACCACCCCATTGAGGCATTGTTCAGATATTTAAAATGAAAAAGTAGTTAAAAAAAAGATCTGGAACAAAGCACTTTTCATTATCCTAACAAGTCAATTAGATTAGAGATTTAGCACATTCTAAACGGATATAAAACAAATCTTCTACGCAGTGATGGATCATGAACAAACTCTATTCATATATTGACTCGAATACACCAAATTATAGTTTGGTGTATGAAACATCCTTCGCGTAAGTAAAAATCAACGCAATAAGATTATCTTCTATCGTTTATTGCTTTGTACATATGCGATGGTTGAGATCAAAAAGAAACAGAGAGACGGGAAAAAAACGCGAATATGGATATGCATCTTCTTCAATTAACCTTGGTGATATGCCTGTTATCCGTCGTTGCCGGTTTCTATACATACGGAAAAACCTTTCTTTTTCTCTCTCTCTTCTCGTTTTTCTTCGTCTGCTGCTTTTCAGTTTACAGTTGTTATTACAGGGCTAAATAAGGACGTTATTGCTACTGATTTGTGATGCTGATGATAATGATGACGATCTATCCTTTTCTTTCTCTCCTCTTTCTGTTTCATTGGCCGAGTAACGGAGGGGTGGGACAGACAGCCGATGTGTTGTCAATTCGGGATGCGATTTCTATTTCTTTCCGTATATTCTTCATCTCGTTATATCAACAGAACAAACATTCCTCGTATACATCGATGTTACTAACCTAATGAATCGTTAGAAAACGTTCGTTCGGCAGCTATCTGCGTGCCAAGATATGTTTATTCTACAGCGATCTAAACAATCATCGAAGAACAAGAAAGAAAATCAAAAAATAGCATTCTCATTTCTCTTATGTAAGGTAACAAGTTGACATTCGTTGAGTGTTCCATGTAAATCGCCGAAGATATGATTTCGTTTGACGAAATTGTTTGATGAATCCATCAAGAAATCTTTCTAATTATTCGAACATGAGTGACAAGTATAAATATACAGAAAGAAGAAAAACTAAGAGTATGCACTGAGACCATTATCATCATCGTCAACAACAACAACAACACCACCAAGAAAATACACTCGATTCGTATACAGATCGATATTTTGTATATTGACAGACTTTTCCTCTAGATTAGGCCAATATGTCTGTGTATATGTTATTGATTTATTCATCTCAAGAAGTCTATAATGGAATTGTTTCTTTCTTGTTTATCAATCAGAAGAAAAAGGAAACTTCGCCATGTCGATTCTGATTTTGTTTTGAGACTAGTTGATGTCTTACTGGATACGATAGATCAGACAATAGTGAAATGTTATCTATCTAGTTGTCGATCGATGGTTTCTATATTCAACATGAGTACATTCGCAGCATGATATGTGCCTTTGTTTTGTTTACTCCATTCAAAGATCGAAGAAAATAATTCACTCTGGTTGAGAAGAATGTGTACTATCGCTGATTCACAATTCTTAAGAAAACTGGAAGGATAACTAATCGAAACATAGACTTGATGTCATTTTAGAATTCATTCGATAATTGTTTGTTTAACATTTCCGTGAAAAAGTATTACACCAATAGAATATTCCTTATGATTAAAACCGCAACCATTTCCACTAGTCGAGGTGATATGATTATCCGGATGAAAAAGATTGTGTTTTTCGTCAAAAGTTAATTAGACAGCATGATAATGGATCTTGTCAAATAATAATGCCAGAAGAAAGAAAGAACTAGCCTCCTCTCACATGTTTTGCTATTCTAATCTTGACCCAGCAGAGTGGTCTAAAATAGATCAAAGGTCGTTCGTTGTTTGTATCCATCGCACTTAGAGGGCGTAATATCATCACCAAGTTTGTCGAGCATAGTTTTTTTATTCTCCTACGCAACCAAATGTAACATTTTTAGAACTCGTCAAGCAAAGAAAGCATCTCGACATCCAAACATCATCGTACATAATCAAAATGTAAATAGATGTTATATCAATGATATTGTGACCAGTTCTTACTGAGTACATTGCTCGTTGTCTTCGTTTATTAAAAAGATGCTAATATATCGACACATGTCAAATAAAGTTAAATGAAACCTGCTATCTCTATAATTGTCATAATACTCTTGGATAATGGATATCTGATCTATTTTTGGCCTTGTTTAGCAATGTATGCACGCAATCTCGACAATGTCCAACCTACTCAAAAGATAAGAACAGTAAATACTTCTTCCGTTATCACATGATCGCTTGAAGTGAATAACTTGAATTTTTTTTTCATGAACTTATATTGATGTAACTCATGCCGAATATCAGTTAAGCAAAAGTGTACATGCTTGTCAACAGTGCATATGTACAGAGCGAATGAGAAGAACATAAATGAGCATAAGTACACAACAGTAAATCTGCTAGAAAAGACTAAACTACAAAAAAGAAAAGTTTAACAAAAATGAAAGTAAAATAAATACAGATCAAATGTTAGAATTATGCCTTATACCAAAGAATAATATAATCACTCGGATAAACATGAAATATTGTTTTAATTGGTTACAGTCTCTTCTTCCGGTTCCATTCCATACGCTTCTTCAGCAGCTCCATAATACTTGTTGGCGAGACGGCCTTTCATTGCAGCAGTGGCCATTTCTGCTGCTTTAGTGAATAGATCACCTGCAAAGTTAACAATGAAGTTAATGTCAAATATCAAGTAGAAATGGAAACCTACCTGCTCGTTGATAGTTGCAGGATAAATTATTTCCGCCTGTTTTATAAAGAGTAGCCAGACGAGCAACAACATCATGTTGGTCATGAAATGGAACGGCGCTGTCAACTAATTTTCTTGGATTTGATTCACTTGTTTCGCTATCTTCATCGATATCATTCGATTCTTTTTCGCGCAAACGAATGTATTTTTCATAGTATTCAGCTGCTTGTTTCCAATCTGGTTCTCTGAAATGAACAAATGAGTGTAATAT